GAGGAAGATGGGAGAGGAGTAACACTGGGGAACTCACTGGGAAATAAAGTCTCTGCCAGAGGCATTGAAGCCTCAAGTTTTGAGTGTGAAAATAACTGGTATCATAAAAAGCGTCCTTAAGAAGTGTTAAACCTGTTAAAAGAACAATACACATCAAATCAGGCGGGCCACACCCAGAACTGTTAGGAAAGGCAGCTGTCTGTGACTAAGTCTTGTGCCACCTAATTCCTCCTTATTAACTTGTATTAATGATTAATATGTACTAGCCAATTAGTTTTGAGAGCAAGGATTTTGTCAGAACAAAGAATGATAAGAGAAGATAATGATAACGTTATGACCCAACCACATATTTTAAATACTTTCAAGGAAAAAAGATTCATCAGAAGATCTGGAGCCACACCAAAATAAGGCCTCAGAAATTATTAGCATATATGCTTGTGTTCAGGAAATGTGATGAATATGTATTAGTTTCAGGAATATAACCTAGTCTGTTAGGTTACTGGGCATGCATGCTTTGGGGAGAATTTCCCATGCATCCAGTGCTCCTAATAAAGAAATGTTAACTTTCCAACCTAGCAAATTGGTCAGAGAGTTTATTTCCCAATTTTCCATGATACCATGCCTTTCCCCTGTTGCATCAATCAGAGTAGAGAAGTGATTAGGGTTTCTTAAAAGAAACAATACCCAGACTGGGTGTCCCAGAATTAATTTCTACAGATTATGAACCCTACTTTGTAGCAGAAATGGTGCAGGCAGTGCCCAAATTTTGACAGTCTATTTGGGAACTACAGACCTCATGGATCCCATAGTCCAGCGGGAAAGCAGAAAGGATGAAGCAGACAACAAAGAGGCAAATATCCAAGTTACAACAAAAGGCTGGAGTGGGGCATTGTTTTTGGCTGTTACAGGAGTTTGTCAGTCCCTGGGTCAAAGCAGGAAGAGGCACTTTGGAATCACCATCCTGGAAGGCAAAACCTTGTACCCACATCGGAGATACATCGGAGATCAGGAGTGTGCCAGGCCACAGGCAGGGCCAAAGAAATATTGCAGTTCTCTCTCACTGCCTTTATCCCTATGCACAGGTGTTTGAATCAGGCCCCACCCTTCTCTTGGGTACCCCAGACAATCTTTCCAGCCTGGAGAAGTGGGTCGTGTTTGAACATGAAAGGATGAGACTCCACCAGAAAGGTGGGAAGGTGCTTCCCAGGACCGTTTGGGATATGCACTGCAGTGAAAAGCACAGGAATCAGCTCCTGGACCCATGGCATGTGTGAAAAGCATCCCTGAGTCTGGGCAAGACACATGGAATTCCCACCAAACTGGAAACCTGAAGTTCCAACTGCACACAGAAGTATGTTCTTTAATTTTTTAATCTGTTTACACAAATTAACTTTGCAAGTGAAGTACTTATATAGTATGTTGTTACTTTGTGGGGTCCACTATATAATATGTTGTTACTTGTCCAATCCATTGGGAAAATTCCAACTCCAGCAGTAAAACCGATGGATTTCCCAGTGCCACAGTCAGTGAAGGACCCTTTGAACTGGGGAATTTTAATAGTAGATTTAAATCTGATGTTGCTCCTCAAGTCCCAAACCCTGTAAGGATTTCCCACGCAGTTTAACATAAGCCAAGAGGAAGGTAATTGGCATTACATGTGTGATGGGTGCCCACCAAAGCTGCTCCGTCACGCCCTCCTCATTTGGACAGGGAAGAGAAAATATAAGAAAAGCTCATGGCTCAGGATAAGGACAGAGAAAGCTCACTGATTACTGTCATGGGCAAAGCAGACTCGATTTGGGAAAATTAGTTTAATTTATTACCAATCAAATCAGAGAAGAGTAACAAGAAGTCAAATAAATTCTAAAAATATTGGGTTTTGTTTCCCCTGACCCCTCCATCCATCCAGGCTCTGCTTTATTCCCGATTCTCCACCTGTCCCCTCCCAGCGGTGCAGGGAAGGACTGGGGGTGGCACCAGGTCACCACTGCTTTCTGCTCTGCTCCTTCTTCGGGAGAGGCGTCCCTGCCCTGCCCCGCGGTGGGAGGGAGACAGCGCTCTGCAGTGCTCCAGCAGGAGCCTTCCCAGGGCTGTGGCTCCTCACAAACTTCTCCTCTGTGTGTCCCCTTGTCCTAGTTTAGGGCAAATTTGGGGAAAACCCTCTGGAAGGAGCCCCCAGAAAACAGACCCCCACGGCCCCTCCCCACCCACCTGGTTCGGGAAAAAATTTCTCTAAGAGAAGTGGAAAAGAACCTGTTTATTTAACAAACAAAGCACTCCCCAGCACCAAAGAAAATAACAACACCAGATGACAACAAAACTCTTTCACCACTCTGAAGAGATGAACAAATCCAGAAAGTCTCTCCTGGGAGTGGTCACTGGGGATTGCTCTGGGCACTGGGGATGGCTGCTGCAGATCACAAAATGCAGGCTCTGGGTGTTCCTCGGTGTTTCCAGGTCCCAGTCCAGAGCAGGTTGGATGGTATTCAGGAAAAGGAAAGGAAAAGAAACAGTGCAGGGAAAGAATTGGACTGCTTAGCCAAACTAACTAGGAAGCAAAGGCAAAAGCAGAAGCAAGCAAAGCAAGCAAAAGCAGAAGCAAGCAAAGCCAGCAAAGGCAAAAGCAGAAGCAAGCAAAGCAAGCAAAAGCAGAAGCAAGCAAAGCAAGCAAGCAAGCAAGCCAAAAGCAAGCCAGCCAGCACCAGCCTTTTCTAGACAGCAGACCATGGGAGAGGTGAACCAGCTGATAACAAGGCAAAACAAACCTTCACTTTCAGAGTCAGTTCTGAAAGTACAGAACAGAATATCAAACATACACAGAACACACGATCGGGGATACAAACACCATAACGTCACCCTAGGACACCCCTCCTCAGGAGCTGCTCCAGCCTGAGGCCCCACAGGTCCTGCCAGCAAACCTGCTCCAGCATGGGCTCCTCTCCCCAGGGCTCCAGAGGTCCCTGCCAAGACCCTGCTCCTGCACGGGCTTCCCACGGGGTCACAGACTCCTCTGGGCACCCAGCTGCCCTGCGTGGGCTCCCCCAGGGCCTGCAGGGGTGTCTCTGCTGCCATGGGGCTCCACAGGCTCTGGGGGGATCTCTGCTGCCCCTGGGCACCCACGGGCTGTGGGGAACCCCTGCTCCAGCACGTGGATGACCTCCTGTCATTCCTCCTGCCCTGACCTGATCGTCTCCAGGACTGTTGCTCTCTCATTCCGCCATTCCTCTCTGGCTGCAACTACCTCTACACAAGAATTCTTTTTTCCTCCTGAAATGCATTATCCCTGAGGGGTACTGCCATCACTGATGGGCTCTGCCTTGGCCAGCAGCAGGTCCATCCTGGAGCCAGCTGGCTTTGGCTCTCTTGGACATGGGGGAAGCTTCTGTCAGCTTCTCACAGAGGTTGCCCCTGTAATCTTCCTGCTACCAAAACCTTGCCACATAAACCCAACACAAAACCAATAAAATGGACACAATTCCACAAATGGGACATATAGTTGGCTAAGGACGACAGCAGGTGGAAACCCACCTGCCTTTGTGGGGGAAAGTGAAAAGACATTCTTTAGGAATGATAACATTATGCTCCTTATGGAGAAAAAGACCTTTGGAAGCGTAGTTATGGAGAAGAATAAAGAGAAATAATTATGTTCTTGGAGAAGCCTTGAACAGCAGCTGGAGCAGGCTGCCTGTCAGAATCCATGCTCAGTGCACGGAGACTTCATTCCTGAAATCTCAGGTGGGGGTTCACTTTAACTGGACAAGCAGAGGCATCAGCAAATCCCAGGAGGCTGCCCAGAGGCTGGTTTGGGAGGGCAGTGACACGTGATGAGCATCTGGAAATTGCCCAAAACAGAAGAGAACAAGGATGGGGCTCTCCTGAGGCATCTCAAGAACTGGGGAGGCACCCATGGCACCCTCCTCAGGCCTGCTGAGTGCTTGGGGGTCCCTCTCAGTCACCTCTGGAGGGTGACAGTGACGAGGGGACATCCCTGAGGGGTGTGGGGGAAAGGAAAATGCTGCATCCACGAGTGTCTGGTGTGGGCACAGAGCAGCCACAGCCCCTCGGACTCCCCAGGGATCACCCGAGCCCTTCCAGGCGCGGTTCTGGAGTGCGAAGGAGCAGCTGGGCTGGGCCCTGGGCTTGGTCTGCCGGCAGCCGCTGCTTGGAGAGACAGCTCGGGGACACAGAGAGCTGAGCTGTCCCCTGCCGCCCGTGCTCCGGGACCTTGCGCCCAGCCCCGGTCCGCCGGCGGCCGGGGGTCCGCAGGGCTCAGCACTCGTGTGCCCCGGGTGGGCACGGCGCGGCCGCAGGAGCTCGCCGGGCGGCGCGGGCACCGGGAGCCGGCCCGGGCGGCGCGGGCACCGGGAGCCGGCCCGGGCGGCGCGGGCACCGGGAGCCGGCCCGGGCGGCGC